CAGTTGGACCGGTGTACCTAATAAAGTGGCCGGTGAGTGTATATATATATATATATACTAAGAGTCAGAGAGGTGAAAGAAAGGAGCAATGATGAATGTAATGATGGAAATCAAAACTGTAGAAAGAAAATAGTCTGTGTGGTCTCACATGAAGGGGTCTTCRGCCGTGCGGGGCCAGGCCACATAGCAGAAGGTTCTACCCGGTAAGGTCCTGGTGGTGGAGAAGTAGCAGAGAGGGAAGGCCAGGACCACAGCCAGGCTCCAGATACAGAAGATCACAGCGATGGTGGCTTTTGAAGACAGGCGGGGTTTCAGAGGGTGGATGATTGCCATGTATCTAAAGGACGGAGGACAGAAACAGAGCTCAGGAGAGAAAACTCTGAAAAAGTGGAGTTTGTGGAACTTGAATAGCGAGTGAAAGATCTTCTTCATATGTCTTGAATATTCAGTAACAATTTAGGATCACTTCTGGCATGTGCCAAAATCAACAAGAGAGGAGACATATTATTAAGGTCCAATCAGAAACTCCGGGGGTTGAAACCAGGCCTGCAGCAAGCTGAACTCTGCACTTCTCTCATGCTTATCAGTGTGTGAGTGAAAATRTAAATGGCTTTAGAGTGTACAAATATGAGTGTCATGAGTGTGTCTCTGAATGAGTGAATAACAACATTTTAAAGTACTTTAAGAAAACTGGATAAAGTTAAAAAAAACTATATAACTATTTACAATTAGATCAATAGGCTACTCAGACAAATTGAATAACTATCACTTCCATGTGAACTAACTTTTGAGCGTGCATTCTTTAAATCRTGTGGAGGATTTTATCTAAGTCAGTCAGTCCATGTACTCGCAACAAACTTAGCTTTAAACCTTGGAGGAAAATATTTATGTTCATTTTTTGTTAAGACCAAGTTTTAAAATTGACTGAGTGGCAACCATCTCAAATTTGGTTGACTCCAAATACTAAGCAGTTGCAAACGTACATACAGTATGCTCCATTCAGTGGTTCAGGAGATATTTTGCTAACAGACCGATATCCACTCACAAATAAGGGCAAACCATTTCAACAACAATGAAAAAACATCATCTCAGGTCATTTATTTTAATGTGCGCAACAATCAGTGCAGTTTTATTAAATATTCTCCAACAAAACCTCTCTGTTAAATCATCTCGCGCGGGCAACCTATTGCTGTACCTGTCCAGGGCGATGGCAGTCATGGAGTAGATGCTGGCAAACACGGCCGTGACCGGGAAGAAGTTGTGGAACCTGCAGTAGACCTCCCCGAAGTACCACTCTCCGTGCGCCGCGTAGATGAAGTTGACGAGCGTGTTGAAGGCAGCCATGGACGCGTCGGAGAACGCCAGATTCAGCAGGAAGTAGTTGGTGACGGTCCTCATGCGTTTGTGCGCCAGAATAATCCAAATGACGATCAAGTTGCCGAAAACAGCCACCGCCAGCACCGTGACATACGCCACGGACCAGAGCGCGATGCGCCACGCCGGCTGCACGAACTGGTTGGTCAGAACCCTGGTTGTGTTGGATCCGTCCCGGTCTGGGGCCATTCCTGAGGAGGGGTCCCCGGCAGGATTTGTTTTCTATCGATTCTGGAGGAGGAGGAGAGAGCACTTAGATGGTGTTAATCTGACTGATGGAAGTGACAGAGYGGTCCTGATGCAGAGGACGGATAAAGGGGGCGTTTCCTGCTTTACGCATGATGTTGGGATCAGGTCAGGCTCATTTAAAGGTGCACACTGCAAAATCTAAAAAAGATTATGCTGAACTCTATCAAATGCTGCAGTTTAAAAAGGGTTTACTCCAGTAGTTTTGCACTGATTTGAAACGCAGGTATGCACTCAATGTAAACAAAGCACTTACTCAACTCAACTTTTAAAAGGTGTTCATGATTTTTCTTTAAAAAAAATCCTTAAGGGAAAAGTTTTAGTTTCTTTTAAATAAAACTCCAGAGCATTCCAAGACATAAACCAAAGATTTTTCATCATGTGCTGCACCAAAGGGCTTTAACAGTGGGATTAGACTTACGTAAGAAACTCCCATAAACCCCTGATGTCTGAGCTTTTTATGACAAAAGGATTACCGCTGGGCTGGTCTGTAACGCCTCCAACACCTTGAATTCTACAGAACAATTGTTTTAATTCTCTGGGATGAAAGCACCTCTACCAGGTGGTTATTTATAGAGAAGGTGTGACAGGATGAGCATTCTGATACTATTTTTGTTCCTTTTTTTTCCTCCTGCTGATCACATTTAAATATCAAGCTAAACCTTGCCATGTAGTGGTCTTGTTATAGTTTTATTTTGCAGCAGTACACTGTTTTTAATTATTCAGTATAATAAAGAAAAAATAGTTCAGTGCTTTATTTACTATTTTTTAAAATGAAACTGTATGGCATTTTTTTCTCATATCATGTTACAAGAAGTTACTGTARTTTAATAAATGTGCTGAGTTGGGTRCAGGACCCTGGTGGACAACATTCTTATCTGTGTAGATTTAATTCTCAACACAGACAAAACCAAAGAAATAATTCTGGACTTCAGGAAGAATCCTCCCCATTTAAAGCCCCTCACTGTCAAGGCAGACAACCATAGATTCCTGGGACTGCAGGTTACATCAGACCCTATAGCTGGACTCTTACAGCCACAGTGGAAAAAAGCCCAGCAGAGGTTTTACTTCATCAGGCTGCTCAGGAAAGCAGCTCACCCAGGCCAACAGTGGACTGAGAGTGAGCACCTGCAGGCATCAGGTCCAGGAACACACAAACACAGAGAGAGGAAGGCTCTGCAAAGAGTCATGAAGGYCTTGAAGCGGATCAGAGGGACAAAGCTTTCTTCCTTGGACTCTGTATGTACAGCGCTGTCAAAAAGAGCAGAGGGAGTTATCAAGGACTCRCTACACTCAGCTTACTGCATTCAGACACGACGACCGACTCATCACCAACACAACAAGTKTTTTAAAGGATTTTTCCTGCCAGATGGCAAAACAAATCTACTGAGCAGGAGCAATAATAACCCTATTTCCCAAGATATCATTTCTTTCTGTACAATGATATATTCTATATTATATATACAGTATAGTTACTATTTTAGTGTTATTTTACATTTCTATATTATGACTCTAAGACTGCTCTGCACAAGAATTCCAGTGTGCATGCACTGTTGGTTTTATGTACAACATGGCAAATAAAGCTCTRTATCTTTGTAATTTAATGATAAATWGTTTGAATCATTTTAGGTGCATGTCCCACAGCAAATACAGGAGAAAAAAATAAATATATTACAAATAAAAACAGTTGGATGATGAGTTCTTGCTCAMAAGAACAAACCCTGAGGTTGTTTGTTTCCTGTTTAAGTTTCAAATAGTTTTAATGACCCCTATTGATGTTGTTGTTTCTGATCTGTCACACATCCGGTCACCCTCTTTACTTTTTCCTTTGCTTGTTATTTTATTTTATTTTATTTTTTTCCCAGCAGAACTTTGTTCATCTTTTTTCTCTCAGAGTTTTATGTTGTGGAACATAACTTGTGGAAACTGTGCCGACTGCGAAAAGACCCTAAGAAGGTCAGAAAGCATGTTTCCTCTCAGTGGGACCTCATTACCCAGAGGCCACCTCTTCTGGACCACACCTTGTCTGAAATGTCATCGCTCAAGCTGCTTTTAAATGTGCCCTGTCCTCCACCTTCAAAAGGTCACATCTGCTGATCATTAGCTGCATCCCAAAATGATTCTCTTTATTTGTGTCAATAATTCAGATTATTTAATTTAAACAGCATGGATGATGGGTGTGTCAGTTTGTGGCAGGTTTAATTTATATAAAGCAAACGACATGTGGCCGAACAACAACAAACAAGTTATTACCATAAACTTGTACAGATGTTAATGAGATTGTTATGGTAATATTTATTTAACAAAGACAGAAATAMGTGGTCCAAGAATGAAGGTACTGAGATGATCAGCTGAGTTTTATTGCAACAACAGGAAACACAGAGAACCTGGCCTGTCTCTGTGCCTCTGCTTCTCTCTGTCACTCCACTCCACCTTGCTGTTGAACTCTGTTGAACACTGTGTCTCGAGAGGCCTCATAAATATATTAACAAACAGCATTCTGTCATCTTAGCAAGATTTGATACAAGGTCAATGGAAAACACAAAGACAAACACAAGGTGATATCTAAGAATGATTATTGTTGTTAKCAAATCTTGTTCTGACTTTAATCAKTCTGTCTGCAGATGAACAGAATGTCATGAAAACMTAGGKCATTAAAGGATGTCATGAATAACTAGCTTAAACATAAAGTATTAGTTCTATTACAGAGATCAAATTCTTGCAGTGAAGTTTCTGCTCTGTCGGGGGTTCAACAAGCACAAATTCATTGTGAATGTTCCCAATCATACCAGGAATAATGAAACATTCAGAGTCATTTGGCTCCTAAATATCTGTTTAGTGAAAACATGATCAAAAGAAAAACTGTTTTTGATTTGATGCATAATCTTCTTGACTTTCCTCTCGGCAGCTTCATYACAACGTCCACATATTGTTTCAAATCTTCTGTAGTTTGTGTTTAGTGAAAAGTAAATTTTAACAGGATGAGCTTTGAATCAGTGTCTTGAATTTAGTTCTTCTTCATATTGCTTTTCATTTAGTTCTTCCTCTGGGGATTTAACAAATGATGGAAAACGGTGGTCTCTCATCACGTCTGCAGGCACCAACATAAAGTTATGTTTCCAAATTCAATTTATTTTTTATTTCCATGTTATAAACAGAGTTATTTTTGGCATTAAACGCCTGCTGACCAGAATGTTATTAATGACTCCACACACCTTCRGTCACAAACTGTTCTTCTTGCCTCTAAGCAATACGTGAGAGCAACACACTGATCGCTAATAATAAAATAAATAAAACTATAGCATTCATTTACTGCTCACCACACTTTATGCCAGAAGTTAAAACTTGGGCAACATGAAGGTTTAGGGCAGGGGTCTGCAACCTTTACAAGAGCCATTTCTGCTCCTTGTCTCACTAATAAAATGTGGCCAGAGCCACAAAACAAGGTAAAACTGTAAATATCAACTGGTGGTCCGTGGGTCTTTTCAAGGCCTTTTTTCAGGAACCTTCATGGTCAGTGGAGGTGACATTATAAAACTAAAAAATACTGCTATTATTGTTATATTATTTATTATTGTACACATTAGGACAAATAAAAAGACCTTATTCATGTAAACAAGAAAAATACTATATTTTTTATACTGAATTTCATAAAAACTAGTACAACTGAACTATTCCTCCCTTCTAATTCATATTACGTAGTCTTCAAATTCTTTAAACGTAATTCTAATGGATTTGAGAAAAGAAGCTGTATTTTTTAAGTAAACAACAGGCTAGCATGTGTTAATGTTTTATTTTTTTATGAGTAGTATTGATCACATTTTTGTATACAAATTGATTTTGGTTGTGGCTATAAAAAAACCTATTCTGTCATGTTTGGTCACATTTTCAAAGAGCCACTGCAGAGGGACCAAAGAGCCACATGTGGCCCCAGAGCCGCAGGTTGCAGACCTCTGGTTTAGGGGTTCTTTCTGTGTGGAGTTTGCATGTTCTCCTCCTGTTTGAGTGGGTTTTCTCATGGATACGCCAGTTTCTTCCCACAGTTTTAGCAGCAAACAGGCCCAGATCTCCCTTGAATAAAGATATGTGATCTGGGATTTGCCTGTTAAAAATAAATAAATAAATAAAAAACCTTAAATAATCACATCTATAAAAGCATTCCCTTAGAGTTTGTGTTATGAAGAACACTTGGCTACTTCCAATATAAAATTCTAGCTCAAAATTAGTAAAATAGACTGTTATATACATTTTTTCTGACTGTTAATTTGTTGTGGTGGGCATGTTAAACTGGGCTGACTTCAAAAGTGAAAAAGTTGTAATTTTATGTTCATTCATTCAGTGGTTCATGAAATGTTTTGGCAATATAGACTCAAACACAAAAACACATTATATTTACTGTGAATGTACTATAAGTTTTCTCTAATAATTTTTTTATGATTCATCATTTATTTAAAAAATGTGCAGAAAATAGAACTAAATTGTAATTAAACTGAACCTACTGAACCCTGATCCCTGCACGCAGAACGTTTTGCTTCAGTAATGAATCTGATGACTGGGAACACAAGCCTCCTCTGGCCTGGCACCAGGAGGATTATTTGTCTAAAAAAAGCCCAAGTCATCTCTGTCCTGGGAGAAGGAGCATTAACCAGCGTGGGAGAAAAAATATCTGAGAAWGTTCAAGTAATTACCTTTTAGGTAAGGCATTTTTATTATTTTATTCATTATAGAAAGCCTGTAGAAGTGAAAAGTTTTAAAATATTTGATGCTCATTGAAACTCTAACAGTCTCCTGGTGTCTTTTGTTTTCCTAAAAGAAAAATCACAAGCATGTGTTCCAAACATTCTGATGAGTTGTGTACACATGTGGTTAGCATTAGTCACTGCTTTATTCTGAAGGTTTATAGGCCTAAAGAATATTTGGAACAACAAATGCAGAGCTTGTGTAAAGTGAAGGCAGGGAAGAGGGAGATCTCAAGTGTGGTTTTCACGAAATAATAACTGAGATAATACCTCATACTTACAAAATGTATGTCATAATTCTGAGATTGTATCTCAGAGTTATGATTTATTTTTACAGTTGGGGAAATGGGCTTCAGTATGGATGGAAAATAAAGCATCTGTTACTGCTTTCTCAGTCRTGGACAGTTTATCTGTTTTAGGTGAACAAATGACTTAATTCTTGTGTCAACATTTTATATAGGAAGAAACATGAGATTTGATATAATTCCTAAAGTTTATAGYTGCATACTGTCTTGTATGTAATGTGTGTTTGGTATTAATGTGCCAACAGTGACACGCATGGTGTAACAGTGGCTCCTGCTGGAGTGGCAGCAGGAAACAAAGGGGAAGTTTTGATTGCATCACAAGATCTCTGTTTGAAACTTGAACTGCAGGAGGAGGAAGAGGTGGGACGTGTTTGGAATGGAACACACCCATGTGTGTGTACTTCTGGTCAGACCAGTCGGATGTGAGCGTGCAACAGGTCTGTGAGGCTGCAGATGAGCGCCTGCAGGACTTCCTACAGCTTGTGGGAAACTGTTCATGTTGTCCTCTTTGAAAGTTCAAAGGTTGAAGTTTAGCTAGCAGACGTGGGTTCTCACACCGAGGTAAGACACGCTTCGAGATGATTTCTGAACATTGTACTTGTCATGTGGTTAGGTTTTATAGTGCTGTCACTTGAGCTTTCATAAAACACACAGTTTCATTCAAAGCCTGTCTGGTTCCTGACAGTCTGCTGTCCTTCAACATGTCCTCCACTCTACAAAGCTGTTGCTTATTGATTTTTATATCTGCTGTAACCTATGGTTTTATTACACCTTTGTAATAATTAAGTACCCATTTCAGGTTTTCAACAAATAATAATCTGACTCCTAACAACATATATCTTTTCGTTTTATTTAGGACAGATGCAAAACATCTGGAGTGTTTTAACAGTGAAGCATTTCTGAAATACCCCACAAACATTATTCACACTTTTACTTTAATATTAGACTATTAATGATTTGACTGTGTGTGTTTGAGCCTGACATAAAAAAAGTCAAAAACTTCAATGTCACAGATTTTGACCCATTTTTTGGTGAAGTAGTAGTAGCTATACTGATGGTGGCACAAAATCTTTGTTTAATATTTTGCTCTTAATAATTTGGAGTGAACTGTCAGCAAAATATATCATGAACCATTTCAACCACCATCATTTAATTTACATCTACAGGGAACTAACTTTTGGAGTCAACCCAGTCCAAGATGGCCGCCATGGCCAACTCATCTCAGAAAATGACAATTTTAAAGGCATTGGGCTAAAATCTATGGTAGTAGCTTAGAGTCATTCCCAACACATACTCTGAGTGTGACATCTCATTATATTGCAATAGACTGCACGTAATGCTTCATTTACACAAAAGATGATTTTAATCTAAATCTCCAGTGTGATGGAACTAAGACTTTTAGGTTTAAGCCAGTTCTTCATGCCATACTTTAATGACCTAGGTTTTCATGACATGCTGTTCATCTGCAGATWGAATGATTAAAGTCAGAACAAGATTTGCTAACAACAGTCATTCTTAGATATCACTTGTGTTTATCTTTGTGTTTTCCCTTGACCCAACATTTCCTTAGGATGAAATCTTGCTTGATTAAGATGACATAAAAGTGTTTGTTAAACAGTATATACGAGGCCTCAACTGCCTCAGAAGGAGAAACAGGAGCAGAGAGCTGGGGGACAGTCTTATGTTGTTCTCTGTTTCCCGTTGTTGCAATAAAACTCAGCTGAGCATTCCATTGAGTACCTTCATTCTTGGACCACGTATTTCCGTCTTTGTTAAATAAATATTTCTATAACATCCAGCATTAAAGGTGACGAGCTTCCGCTAATGGGAACATTCACATTTCCTTCAACAAATGCTAGGCTGTTACTTTGCAGCTGTAGTTAAAGTTCCATGTGTTTACCAGGCTAATGGTAAAAAGGTTTTCTCCTTGAAGTTGGGCCTCTGGCGGCAGATGTGCTGCAACAAAGCCCCTGTAGTTTCTGTTGTTGACCCTGAAACTCTGAGCAGAAAGTTGTTTTAAAGCTAAGCTTCATGACTGAAAATGTATCTGAGAAAAATGACAAAACGGATCATTCTAATTACTTTCTTTTTATCAACAAACACTTCACTGAAAGAAAAAACTAGTTTTAAAATAATAAATATAAGCCCGTTAGTTTTAGGACCTTTTACTGAAATATTCTTAGTGAGTGTGAGGATCTGTTAGTTATGAACAATAATTAAAACAAAATTCAATGTACTGCACTGATAATGGTTTTGTTCATCTTTAAATAGATCAGTTTGTGTTCATCTGAGCTCCTGCTTTGACACTTTGTTCTAACTCTGGCTCTCCTCTGCTCTCAGATCAGTTTTTAAAATAATTGAGAAGCTTAAACTTGTCCATCCATCCATCCATCCATCCATCCATCCATCCATCCATCCATCCATCCATCCATCCATCCATCCATCCATCCATCCATCTATTCCTTTCAGGGTCACGGGGGTCACTGGGGCCCATATCCAGCAGCCACAGTGCAAGGAGCGGGGCAAACCCTGGACAGGTCGCAAGTCCATCACAGGGCTAAACTTATGGTGTTTCATCAATAAGAGAAACAGAGTGTGTGCCAACATTTTCACAACTCATTCACAGAACTGAAATGTACACTGAATTGGGGACAGAATTGAACACCTACCGTTCCTTTTAAATCTTTTAATTTTAGAAAATGTTTCGAAAATAGCTGCTTGCTTTCATTTATACCCCTGAAAATAATCCCAGATACAGTCATTTGGTTCCAACAAGCAAGATAAATGCAATTAATAAACAAATAATAGCAGCAACTGCAGGCTTGATTAACAGGTTTTAAACAAAATTGTGGACTCTCAGCTACTACCACTCCAATATGGGCTCAATACCTGTAAATAAATCTATATGATTTTGCTGGTACATAGCCATTTCCCTGTTGTCTAAGGTCAATTATCTGTGGTGGCCGTCCTGAACTGGGGTGGCCACAAAAGTTAACAAGCTGCAGATGTAAACAAGTGATTCATTATTTTAAATCAGTCCAGACACACACAGAGAAAACACAGAGAGACACATTAACTTGTGCATACAATGTTTGTTAGAGCTGTTAAAGAGTAAAGGGCAGTGGACTGGCCGCTCACTTGTTCAAATCATTAACTCGCTTGTCAGACACTCCCAATTGCTCTTTGCTCTTTAAAAAGCAACAAAGAAACAGCATCTGTATTGTGTTTGATCCAACAGATGGAGCCAACTTGTTTCCCAGCTGTGTCCAGGGTGGCTGTAAGTGGGGGAACTCATGGGAACGAGCTGACAGGGGTTTACATTGTGAGAGAAATGCAGAAACAGGAGGTGGACAAAGTGGGATCTGTTTCTGTAACCACTGTTCTGGCAAACCCACGAGCCACTGACGCTTGCAGAAGATACATAGAGACGGATCTCAACCGCTGTTTCACCAATGCTTTGCTGAGGTAAGCTGGAATAAAGGGAAGCTCGAGAATGTGCACAAACTCATTTCTGATAATGTTTGGATTTTTTTTTTAGAAAAAAACGTTATTTTTCATCAGATGGCAGCAACACCTTCCTGCAATAAATTTGCAAATTGTTGCATTCCATTTTTAATGACACTTTAAACAATGTCTCATTTTTATTTTATTTTTTCTTGTAATTTGGGTTGAACAGTCTGTGATGTATTTTTTTATCTAAATCATTCTCTGGATCTTCAGCGCCCCCATCACAGACTCGACTCCCTACGAGATGAGACGAGCTCAGGAGCTGAATGCTCAGCTGGGACCCAAAGGGAGCGAAAAGGCCGTCGATCTGCTCATAGACCTGCACAACACGACCGCCAACATGGGCCTGTGTCTCATCTTTGACTCATTAGACTGGCTCACGCTGCACATTTATAAATACATACAGGTACAAACCTCATCACACACACAAACTGACAGAGCCTGACTTTRTCAAACTCTAAACACTCTCTTCGAGATTGTCTTTTTCTGTAGCCACATCACCAATATTTTATTTTTTTAGAAAAAGCATTTTTAGCCGCAAACACAAAATTACTGATTGCCATGCAAATAAGATCTTAATTGAAGAAAACACAAATCAAAGCTTTGTTCTGTCTGTAACCCCCTTCATTGTTTGGATCTTTATCTCAAATGAACCAGATCAATCTTGAGAATATCTGTAGAAGATCAAACTAAACCTTTGTTTTTCTTTTCCAGAGTAAGATGACTAAAATGCCTGTGAGAGCAATCCAGCTGAACAAGCCGAGATCTGATGCATACTGCCTGGAATCAGTGGGAAAACATGGCTTCGGTAACTTTAGATGAGGCATGCAGGCTGAAGRTTTCATTTTTATCAGAACGTGTGCCAAATGTTCACTCTTTGCAGCAATAGAAGTCGGGCCTCAGCCTAACGGTGTGCTCAGAGCTGATATCTATAACACGGTGAAAACAGCAGTGGATCTTACAATAACATGGCTTCAGGAATTCAATTCTGGTGAGAAGTAAACAGATGGTTTTTAAACGATGTTCATTTTAAGAATTTGTTTATTCTTGTTTCTTTGTTCTTGTGCTCAAATTTTTAGTGTTATAAGTTTAATTACTTTGATGTTTTTTATGTATTTTTTTACCAACAGGATGCACTTTTGAAGGAGGTGAAGTGGAAGCATACATTGCAGCAAAAAGTGTCGACTATCCAAGAGATCCTGATGGTAAAATAACTGCTGTCATCCACCCCAAACTGCAGGTGCAGTATAAATTAGCCTAAAAGCTTAAAATGATTGTTCAGATCCTCTGACCGTCAGTTCTGTGGAAACATCCTGTGAAAACGTAGCAGTGGTCTTCAATTTAAATTGAATGAGGTCCACCTCAAGAAGTCTGAAATGTATAAATTTAAATGTTCTTTTTGTGACAGAGAGAGTTGGGATTTAACAGAAATACTAGAAAAAGCTGCCGTAAATGTTTGAAAAGCTGTGCTGTGTAAAATGTAAGATGTTGGCGAGTAAAAAAGAAGACAACTCAAGATTTAAAAAAATAATAATAAATCCCAAAAATTTTAATCTGGGTCCAGATGTGACTTTATTTGGGTTCCAATCTTGATCCAGCTACTGAGGACCCCTGGTTTGGAGCCTTTCCACAGAACTCTCTGATGTCCTAYTTCAATGAAAAAATTCTGTCTATTCTCAAACACCTTGGCCCAAACACCGCTCGCAGCTCACATGTTGAACTCCCCTCTCCCTCCCTCCAATCTCTGTCTTCTCCCTCCCCTCTGCCGTTGACATCTCTGATAGCATTAGCAAGTCTAAGCCCTCATCCTGCCAGCTCGATCCATTTCCCACAGTTCTTGTTAAATCCTGCCTCCCGTCTCTGCTCCCTATCACTCTGGTACTGTTCCCACAGCTTTTAAATCTGCAGCCATTACCCCCATCATCAAGAAACCTGGTCTTGACCCAAGTAACTTCAGTAATCTACGTCCAATCTCTGACCTGCCCTTCATTTCCAAGACTCTAGAAAAAGTTGTCGCCAGCCAACTCCACTTCCACCTTTCCAACAATAACCTCTATGAGGAGTTTCAATCTGGTTTTCATCCCCACCACAGCACCGAAACCACCCTCATAAAAATCACCAATGATCTTCTCCTTGCTGCCGACTCTGGTCTCCTGTCCATCCTCATCCTCCTTGACCTAAGTGCTGCTTTTGATACTATCTCTCATTCTATCCTCCTCAACAGACTCACATCCATTGGCATCTCAGGTACTGCGTTTAACTGGTTCAAATCTTATCTTTCTGACCACACTCAATTCATCCAGATTAAATCCTTCCACTCTGAGTCATCCCTCGTCTCCACCGGCGTGCCCCAAGGCTCTGTGCTTGGACCCCTTCTATTTATAACTTACCCCCTTCCTCTTGGTTACATTTTTGGTGTCCGTTTCCATTGTTATGCAGATGACACACAGCTCTACCTGTCAACCAAGCCAAACTCTACACACCCTCCCTCCATCCTCTCTGACTGTCTCAATGAACTCAATCACTGGTTTTCAGACAATTTCCTGCAATTGAATAGTGATAAAACAGAAATCATTCTTGTCGGCACCAAAAATTCAATCTCAAAATCTAACAATCTCCTCATCCCTATCAACAACTCTCTGCTAACCCCCTCCCCTCAGGTCAAGAGTCTTGGTGTCATCCGTGACACCACTCTCTCCTTCACTGCACACATCAGTGTTACTCGGTCTGCCTACTTCCACCTCAGAAATATCAACCGTCTCCGTCCTTCTCTCACACCCTGCACAACAGCCATCCTTGTCCACAGTCATACCTCACGGATCAATTACTGTAACTCTCTTCTTTTTGGCCTCCCCAACAAACCACTCCATAAGCTTCAGATGGTCCAGAACTTGGCTGCACGTGTCATCACCCAAACTTCCTCCCATAACCACATCACTCCAGTCCTGCAGCAGCTCTTCTGGCTCCAGATCAAATCATGCATCGCCTTCAAAATTCTTCTTCTCACATTCAAAGCTATCCACCATCTTGCCCCTCCTTACATGTCCGACCTCGTACAATCTTCATCCCCTCCCGCTCTCTCAGATCCTCTTCTTCCCTAAACATCCAAGTACCCACTGCCCCTGCCCGCCTCTCCACCATGGGGAGCAGGGCCTTCACCTGTTCTGCACCTCTCCTCTGGAACTCTGTAACACCTAAGAAACACCACCTCTCTTCCTGTGTTCAAGTCTGCTTTGAAAACACATCTCTTTAGATTAGCATATCCATCTTAACTTCATTTGTAAACAGTTCTYTGTAACTCATGCCTGCTTGTCTCTAACTGTATTTTCACACATTCTTCCATGATATGTCTAATGCTGTAAGTGTCCTTGGGTGTCCTGAAAGGCACTTTTCAAACAAAATGATTATTAATATTAATATTATAACTGCACTTCTAAGAGTCTGAACCATCCTTTTGACATTCCCATGAATGCTTTTGGTCCAATATCATTTATGTGCCTGGGTTTAAGGGTGCAGTGAGCCTTTATAATAACCTAAGATGTTTTTTTTTTCTTTCGGCAGGATAATGATTTTAAGCTCCTGCAGCCAGGGGATCCGGTGTTCTTGTCGTTTTCTGGGGAAACGGTGAATCAYGAGGGAGAGGAGCTCTATCCTTTCTTCGTAAACGAATGTGCCTACTATGAGAAGAAGATTGCCTTCCATTTAGCCCGGAGGGAAACCTTCACTTTGCCATCCATTCGTTTGAGGACCTGAGACAAGCAATAACAGTGTGCAGACTGTCTGCTCCAGATAACAGCCAAAGATAATGTTGTCCGGTCTTTACCTCTACCAAAGATTTTTTTCATCACTATTTGTACTTGACTAAATCACTAATAAAGATACTAAGAAAAAAATCACCCACATAATAAAAGTACTGAAAGAGTAGTTTTCACAATTTTAAATAGATTGTAACATGTTCACTTTACATGTCTTTTATAAACTATGCATTGCATTTTATTTTAAATAAACACATGAAAGCAAAGTTTAATTTGTTGAGCTGTTGATGGACTGATTATGTGCAAAAATGTTGTCAGTCACAAAAGAAAAAACAAAAACGAAAAAACTTGTCTTCCATTTAGCTTGGAGGAAAACTTTCATTTGWATAAAGAACTGAGACAAGTTAAACAGAGTGCAGACTGTCTGCTCCAGATGACAACTAAATATACTATTGTCCAATTAGTGGTTTTATTTAGTCTGCACAGTTTTAGATAAGAAACATGTTCACTTTAAATGTCATTGTTTGAACTACTGTATATATTATATTTTGACTTAACTTTAAACCTATAAGAACACAGATTAATTTGCTTATGTGCACAAATGGAGTTGTCACAAAAAAGATAAAAATCATTAATTATCCTGCTCCAAAATGTCAGCAAAAGAACCTTTTAAGACTCACAAAAAACATAAACACTTACAAATGAACTAGAATGCATTAGAGCTCTTTATAGACAAACACAAGTGATGTTTCTCTGTTCTTTTGTATCTTTAACAAAATATAGCGTGAAAAGGGATTTTAATGAAACTCCCAAGAAGTAAAAAGATTTATGTGCACGCTACATAAAAGCTGTAAACAACTGCAATGCCTCCCGCCTTCTTACACAAGATCATTATGACCCCCACATGAGAAGCAGGGGTCATGTTTTTTTTCTGTGATTTTTGGTCAACTGTTCGGCCTACACTGCACCAGCCAACAGTTTTACGACAGACCCCATATTTGAGGAGGGGGCTCCACTTGAAAAGGAGTGTCTGGACAAACAAAAATGCTTATAACTCAAAAACTATTCAACATAGGAGCTTCTAATTTTTTGTTGTTAAAGACCCTGTCACACTAGACAACTTATGAACATTTTAAAGATGTCTACATTGAAGATGGAATTGAAAATGATCAACAGGACGCTTCTTTTTGGCATGTACATAATGCAATTCTAACAAACCGATCAAATATATAACTTTTATTAGCAATTTAGACATAAAAACGTTTCATAAGTTGTCTAGTGTGACAGGGTCTTTAGCTCTGATGAAGGGCCCATTGGACCCACCACTGACCCTCACCAAAAACAATCTGTTCTAGTGAATTAATGCTTTGCATACGTGCGGTGGTCATATATAAATATTTTAATTTAAAATACTGGCGTCAAAGGTACTTAAAGTACTGGAATGTTTTAGGACCTTGGACAGTGTGAAGGGCTGAAGGAACTGTCCAGGGTTCTGAACATGCTGGAATGTTTCAGGACCTCAGAAAGAGTGACGGCTGAAGGAACTGTCTAAGGTCCTGAAAGTGCTGGAACGTTTCAGGACCTCGGACAGTGTGAAGGTCTGAAGGAACTGTCCAAGGTCCTGAAAATGCTTGAATGTTGCAGGACTTTAGACAGTGTGAAGAGTTGAAGGAACTGTCCAAGGTCCTGAAAGTGCTTGAATGTTGCAGGACTTTAGAAAGTGTGAAGGGCTGAAGAAACTGTCCAAGGTCCTGAAAGTGGTGGAATGTTTCAGGAACTTGGACAGTGTGAAGGACAGAAGGAACTGTCCAAGTTATTGAAAGTACATGAACGTTTTAGGACCTTGGACAGTGTGAAGGGTTGAAGGAACTGTCCAAGGTCCTGAAAGAACTGGAATGTTTCAGGACCTTGGGCAGTATGAAGGGCTGAAGGACCTGTCAAGGGTACTGAATGTGCAGAAATGTTTCAGGACCTCGGACAGAGTGAAGGGCTGAAGAAACTGTCCAGAGTCCTGAATGTGCTGAAATGTTTCAGGACCTCGGACAGAGTGAANCCTCGGACAGAGTGAAGGGCTGAAGAAACTGTCCAGAGTCCTGAATGTGCTGAAATGTTTCAGGACCTCGGACAGAGTGAAGGGCTGAAGAAACTATCCAAGGTCCTGAATGTGCTGGAATGTTGCAGGACTTTAGACAGTGTTAAAGACTAAAGGAACTGTCCAAGCTCCTGAATGTGCTGGAATTTTTCAGGACTTGGACAGTGTGATAGGCTGAAGGAACAGTCCAAGGTCCTRAAAGTGCTGGAACGTCTCAGCACCTTGGAAAGTGTGAAGGACTGAAGGAACTGTCCAAGGTATTGAAAGTACTAGAATGTTTTGGGACCTTGGACAGTGTGAAGGGTTGAAGGAACTGCCAAAGGTTCTGAAATAACTGGAATGGTTCAGGACCTTGGACAGTGTGAAATACTAAAGGAACTGTCCTAGTCCTGAAAATGCTTGAATGTTACAGGGCTTTAGACAATGTGAAGGGTTGAAGGAACTGTCCAAGATCCTGAAAAATGCTTGAATGTTGAAGGACTTTAGACAGTGTGAAGGGCTGAAGGAACTGTCCAAGGTCCTGAAAGTGCTGGAATGATTTAGGACCTTGGACAGTGTGAAGGATTGAAGAGAGTGTCCAAGACCCTGAAAGAATTGGAATGTTTCAGGACCTTGGACAGTGTGAAAGACTGAAGGAACTGTCCAAGGTCCTGAAAGAACTGTAATGTTTCTGGACTTTGGGCAATGTGAAGGACAGAAGGAACTGTCCAAGTTAGTGAAGGTACTGGAATGTTTTAGGAACTTGGACAGTGTGAAGGGTTGAAGGAACTGTCCAAGGTCCTGAAAGTACTTGAATGTTTTAAAACCTTGGACAGTGTGAAGGGCTGAAGGAACTGTCCAAGGTACTGAAAGTGCTGGAATGTTTTAGGACCTTGGGCAGTTTGAAGGGCTGAAGGAACTTTCCAGGGTCCTGAATGTGTTGGAATGTTTCAGGACCTTGGAAAGAGTAAAGGGCTGAAGGAACTTTCTAAGGTCCTGAATGTGCTGGAATGTTTCAGGACCTCGGAGAGTTTGAAGGGCTGAAGGAACTGTCCAAGTTCCTGAAAATGCTTGAATGTTGCAGGACTTTAAACAGTGAAAAGGACTGAAGGAACTGTCAAAGTTCCTGAATGTGCCGGATATTTTCAGGACCTTGGACAGTGTGAAGGGCTGAAGGAACTGTCCAAGGTCCTGAAAATGATTGAATGTTGAAGGACTTTAGACAGTGTCAAGGACTGAAGGAACTGTCAAAGTTCCTGAACGTGACGGATATTTTCAGGAACTTGGAAAGTGTSAAGGGCTGGAGGAACTGTCCAAGGTCCTAAAAGTACTGGAATATTTCAGGACTTTAGAAAGTTTGAATTGCTGAAGGAACTGTCAAAGATACTGAAAGTACCGGAATGTTTAAGGACCTTGGGTAGTGTGAAGGGCTGAAGGAACTCTCCAGGGTCCTGAACACACTGAAATGTTTCAGGACGTCGGAAAGAGTGAAGGGCTGAAGGAACTTTCTAAGGTCCTGAAAGTGATGGTATGTTTCAGGACCTCGGACAGTGTGAACGGCTGAAGGAATTTTCAAGGTCCTGAAAATGCTTGAATGTTGCAGGACTTTAGACAGTGTGAGGGGCTGAAGGAACTGTACAAGGTCCTGAATGTTCCAGAATTATTCAGGACCTTGGACAGTGTGAAGGSCTGAAGGATCTGTCCAAGGTCCTGAAAATCCTTGAATGTTGCAGGACTTTGACAGTGTCAAGGATTGAAGGAATTGTCAAAGTTCCTGAATGTGCTGGATATTTTCAGTACCTTGGACAGTGTGAAGGGCTGAAGCAACTGTCCAAGCTCCTAAAAGTACTGGAATGTTTCAGGACTTTAGACAGTGTGAAGGGCTGTAGGAACTGTCCAAGGTCCTGAAATTACTGGAATGTTTTAAAACCTTGGACAGTGTGAAGGGCTGAAGGAACAGTCCAAGGTCCTGAAAGAATTGGAAGGTTTCACGACTTGGAGAGTATGAAGGACTGGAGGAACTGTCCAAGGTCCTGAATGTGCTGGAATGATTCAGGACCTTGGACAGTGTGAAGGGCTGAAGGAACTGTCCAAGGTCCTGAACGTGCTGGAATGTTTCAGGACCTTGGACAGTGTGAAGGGCTGAAGGAACTGTCCAAGTTATTGAAAGTACCGGAATGTTTCAGGACCTTAAACAGTGTGAAGGGCTGAAGGAACTGTCTAAGGTCCTGAAAGTGCTGGAATGTTTCAGGACTTTAGACAGTATGAAGGACTGAATGAACTGTCCAAGGTTCTGAAAGTGCTGGAATGTTTCAGGACTTTAGACAGTGTGAATAAGTGAAGGAACTGTCCAAGGTCTTGAAAGTGCTGGAAAGTTTCAGCACCTTGGTCAGTGTTAAGGACTGAAGGAACTGTGCAAGGTCCTGAAAATGCTTGAATGCTGCAGGACTTTAGACAGTGTGAAGGGCTGAAGAAACTGTCCAAGGTCCTGAAAATGCTTGAATGTTGCAGGACTTTAGACTGTGTGAAGGGCTGAAGGAACTGTCCAAGGTCCTGAAAGAACTGGAATGTTGCAGGACTTTAGACAGTGTGAAGGGCTGAAAGAACTGTCCAAGGTCCTGAAAGAACTGGAATGTTTCAGGACATGGACAGAGTCAAGGGCTGAAGGAACTGTCCAAGGTCCTGAAAGTGTTGGAATGTTTCAGGACCTCGGACAGTGTGAAGGGCTGAGCGAACTGTCCAAGGTACTGAAAATGCTTGAATGTTGCAGGACTTTAGACAGTGTGAAGGGCTGAAAGAACTGTCCAAGGTCCTGAAAGAACTGGAATGTTTCAGGACATGGACAGAGTCAAGGGCTGAAGGAACTGTCCAAG